AGTCCAAAGAAAAAAATCCTCCAAAACGAGTAAAAGGCAACTACGTAAAGTGCTCAATACACGAAATAATGCAAAACCTAAGATAAGCCTAAAGAGCAAGTCAAACATACCTAGGTTTCATCTAAACGGATCGTCGACGATCCGTTTAGCTGAAACCTAGATAGGTTTACCTGGCTCTTTAGGATTATCTTATCTTATCTTATATATATATATATATATATATATATATATATGTTATAATTTTCGAATAAATAATCATATATATATATATATATATATATATATATATATATATATTAGGAAAATGTATGACAACATTGAAAAAGTATTCGTGTGACGCTTTTAGGACTTCAGAGGACTAAAGGAATATTTACCTTGATACGACTGCACATGCGCACCAAAGAGATGAGATGCTGAATTGTTTTTTTTTAATTCTTTGTTTCAACGATAGAGTTTAATCGATTTCTGTTAACTTCTTTTTGTTTGTATTCTGTTTAAGTTATATTATTAAGTGATAAATCACTTTTGTTATAAGTGATGGACAAATTACAAAACACTGAATTGACCTTCGATAATTATTGAACGTTTTTGCTTCAAATTCAATAATCATATATATATATATATATATATATATATATATATATATATATATATATATATATATTCATTAGATACAAATAACAGAAAAACTTCCTGATGAGAGAGCAAGATATCATCCTCACGCACACTATTCCTAAAAGAATTCAGTAACGTAAAATAAAGACTAACCAATAACGAGTTCCCCAACTACATTATAGACAACCAAATGAAATTGTTTGTTTTCTTTAAAATTAAGCAATAATAACATGGTTCACAGAGTAAATAACAATAACATTATAACAAAACCAAAAGCACAGCCCGAATTCTTATCATTTTATTATAGAAAACCAAAAGAACAGCCCATAAAAATATCAACTATGAACACGGTCACATTGAACTGGTCCTATTCGGGAATTAAGTATTAAATCTAATTTTCAGCAATTTATACACCATTTACAATATCAATTACAGATCATTTACATTAGCACAACTAAAATCCTCCAAAATGGCTAATAGATTAGCCGGAATCGCTGTGAACGAATAACTATTTGTACAATTTCTATATTAAATCTCAAAAAGAAATCTCTTGTTTGCATACAAGGAGATCACTAAAAGTAAAACTTAACAGAACTCCCTTGTCAGGTATTTTTGCGATATATATATATATATATGGATTTTAAAAATGGAAAAGGTTTTTGAAAAATTCCAAAGTAATAGATTAAATTAAATTAAATTAAATTAAATTAAATAGTAATAAATTTCAAAGTAATAGATTAAATTTAATATTTCCAATAAGAAAAATACTTTGGTGAATTTCAAATCGAATTTAAACTGATCGGCCATATTGACAATTATGTCAGCACAACATAATTTTCTTTATTAAAAAATCTTTCAAAAATAAAATATGGTTTCTGAAACATTATTTGAGTAAGATTAGCTGATTTAAAATTTAATTAATCTGAATTAAAACAAACATTACTTACTTTTAGTGTCCAGTTTTGCAGGAAAGCATTTTTAACTCAGAAATTGACATATTTACCGATAGCTTAATGTTTGGCATTTTTAAGTAAAGGGCACATAGCTTCAAAAATTACTTAACAAATTCGTGAATGCCTTTTAATATAATCTTTTAACTATCCATAACGCTTTAAAATTTAGGAAAATGTTCTTAATAATCTAATATTTTATGGAATTTCGGATAATTTGGCTTTCTAGCCTTACTTACGAAGACGATTGTAAGGAAATATTACAAAATTACCAATAAATTTTAAATTTACTATAGTTAAGGATCGTATTTTTTTATAATGACGTATACAAGCCCGTATTTACAAAAATAGGAACAATTATACACCCAAGAAATTCAAAATTCTATTTAAAAATAATGGAGGTTGTTGAATTGTAGTAAGCTTTTTCTTTAATAATTAGTAGTGTTTTTGCTTAATAACGATATCACATAACCGCTACTAATTAATACACACACATATATGTGTGTGTGCGTGTGTACACAAATATATACTTATATATAATGAACAAACACATGAAGAGACAACCCTAAAAACCGACATGACGCGTGAAAACGCAATATTTGTAAAACGATGAAATGGTCATAGAACAAAAACAAAAAAATACTCTTTGATAGTGACAAATGAAATCCGAAAGTACTCAGACATTGGAAAATGTATATTTAAAAAACTTCACCAAAAAATAATAACTTTCGTGAGTCCATAATTGAAGTTATATATATATATATATATATATATATATATATATATATATATATATATATATATATATATATATAAAATATAAATATAGGTAAATGTACGAGCGAGCGTTCGTATACAAATACATATAGATATACTCTATAGTGTAAGAAAAAACAGTGCTATTTAATATATATATATATATATATATATATATATGGGAATTAATTATATGTATATATATATATATATATATATATATATATATATATATATATATATAGAGAGAGAGAGAGAGAGAGAGAGTGGAGAGAGACAAATATTTGTTCACCTACAAATTTTTAATTTATTGTATTTTCAGCTAATGAATAAACATAATTTTCATATAATTAACTATACACAGACACTATTTGATAATAATTAAATATTCATAGAAAACATAAACAATTTTGATTTAATATAAATAAATCCCATTTATCCATTTTAATGGGTGAAAAAGCATTTGTACAATACAAAAAAGAAAACATAATCTTCATTTAATTCTTTGTAGAATAGCCATTATTCACTTCTACAGTAACCAACCTCTTCTTGTAGTTCTCAATGATTTGCAAATTTTAGTTGGTATTTTGTTCCATTCTTCTTCGCATATGGTCTTCAGATCCGGGATGTTTGTTGCAGGTCTCGATTGGATTCGAATTTTCAAATAATGCCACATATTCTCGATTGGGTTTAAATCTGGGGACGGACTTGGCCATTTCAGGATATTTACATTATTTTACATTATTTTCAGCAAGCCATTTCTTCATAGATTTTGCAGTGTGCTTAGGATCATTATCTTGTTGGAAGATTCAATCAGGAGGCAGTTCATGATTTTCAACCAAAATCATTAAATTTGCTTCCAAAATCTTTTGATATGCTGCGGCATTCATCTTACCATCTATTACTGATATGTTGCCAGTAGCTTTTGCAGAAAAACATCCCCAAACCATGATGCTACCACCACCAAATTTCACTGTTGGAACTGTGTTCTTTTGTTTGAAGGCATCGCCATCTTTCCTTCAGAGATGATTTCTAGAATTACGTCCAAACAACTCAGTTTTGGCTTCGCCTGTCCATACTTTTTGCTAATATGATTTTTCCTTATCCTCATGAATGAATTTCAACCTGGCATCTCTGTGTCTTTTCAATAGCAGTAGAGTTTTCCAAGGGGAGCGTTACTTTAAATTGTTCCTATGAATTTCATTGCTTATTGTCTGTTTAGTGACACAAATTTCTGATGAAAGCAAATCATCTTGCAACTCTTGACGAGTAGCCATTTTGGATTTTGCTTGATTTGACGCATTAATTACCTCAAAGATCTTGAAGAAATCTCCCGTGGAGAACCTGTTCTTCTTTGGTTTTTTAACAGTTTTGAGTTTTTCATACCTTGCAATGAATGGACTAATGGTAGTAAATGGAATATTCAGGTTGTCTGAGATCTGCCTGTAACTTTTACCTTCTTTCCAGAGCTTAACGATCAGTTCTTTTTGTGAATTTGTCAATTCATTACCTCTTAACTTGTTGGTAACCTTCTTTCATGAATGTTCTGTTTGTAATTTTAGGCTAAAAATAACTACTGATAACATTATTGGGACATTCTAGAATATTCCACTTGAATAATCTTGATTATTAAATTAATTTAAAAGTTTTAAAATCTGAAATTTACATTGTACGAATACTTTTTTCCGCCATTAAAATGAATAAATGAGATTTATTTCTATTAAATCAAATTTTTTCTGTTTTGTATGCATATTTAGTTATTATGCATCTGTGTACAATTTATTATATAAAAAGTATATTTATACATTCGTTGAAAATAAAATAAATTAAATATTTGTATGTGTATAATGGTTATAATTTATTACATTGGAATCGTAATTACAATCAATTCAACAGACCTACAAATTTGTAGGTCTGATGAATTGGATCGTGATTACGATTCCAATGTAATATATTATAACCATGGAATATTAATCTTTAAGCCTTTTTATTACACACACACAAAAAACACACATATATATATATATTTTAAGAACAGTTGAAATATATTATATATATATATATTGAAAGAACAGTTGAAATATATATATATATATATATATATATATATATATATATATATATATATATATATATATATATATATATAACATATTGAAATAAATAAGTTAAATGGATTATTTATGATCTTCTATCAGTATTAGAACCTGCCATTATCATAATATTTAATTATATGATTACTGCAATAGTTTAATCCTGTAAATACTTTAATAGCTTTAAAATTGAATGTGTTTGACAAGTGTAACAGCAAACGGTGATAACAACTAAACATGTTTTAAAGGTTGCGTTCATTTTTAAATAAGATTTATTTCCTTGTAAAAGGTTTAATATTAAGTGATTTTGAATATAAACGTGAATATTTGATTACGGATAAAAGGTTTAACATATCTGGTTTCAGATAATAAATATGACCATTTAATTGAAGAAATCAATAGGTTTAACGATAGTTTATTAAGGCCACTTTTCAATGTTGTTACATTACGGATAAAAGATGCCAATTCACTGTTTTGGGATTTTAAAACAGAAAACCAGGGTTAAAATGAAAGAAATTTTTTGCAGATCGTAATGTTAATGATATTGTAGCATTAGCAATTTTTTCAACCCTTTTTTCTATTAAATGACCACATCACGTTGAAACACCGGTTTCATACGATCACTAAAGTTAAGCAACGTCGAACCTGATTAGTACCTAGATGAGTGACCGCTTGGGAATATCAGGTGCTGTAAGCTTGAATTCGTGGCTGGTTTAATTGGTAATGGCGGGAAATTATTAATCAGTGAGCCGAGTTACATCGCATGCTAGGTCCGTTATATTTACTTGCAGCCTTGGAAAAGGCATGAATCCATCTCTTCTCCTTCCCAGGTATGGGTTAATTAGTAAAACTTGTATCAATAAACTATTATTATCTCAAAAAAAATTCATACAATCTAAAAATATTTTCTGTTTTTTTAACACCCTGCAAAAGGTTGATAAGCCGTAAAAAAAACGAATCAAATTATTTATTAACACTTGAAATCTGCTGCTAGGAAAATTGGCTTACTCTGTCATGACAGCCATTTTTTCTCGACAGAATATATCTTGCACATTGATCTGTTTATCGGATATTGCTGCCACTCCTGAATACTTTTTATTCATTTAACAAATTGATGGAAGGTATAAAATTTATTACCTTTTTTTTTTCTTTTTTTTTTCATTGAGAATCACACGTTCTAATATCTCCTTGGAATTTATTAACCATTTTCTGTTAATGTAACGTTACAAGTTAACGCATTTGCGATGTTACAAGGTAACGTTGTGGGAGGACTAAAAATAACGTTTTTTGCAGCAACATGGACCTGAGGGAAAATTAAATAAAATCGTTAAAAATTAATAATAATGAAAAAATTACTTTACGTTTACAATGTTTTATGGGAAAATATAATACTATAAAAAAAACATTAAATAAGACATAAAGAGTGCGATACAATTTTACAGTATTATTTGGATTTCCACTCATTTTATTATTAATTTTGATATTTCATTTATGGAAAAATGATATATATGAGATGAGATAATATAAAACTAAGATCATATAAATTTCATAATACATTGTAGGTAACCTTATAAGTTGAAATGCTATACATTTTTTCTCTTTTGTTGATTTTTCTAATCTTAAGTTATGACAATATTGAAAAGGCATTTTTTTTCTAATAGTTACATAACCATATATACTTTTTATTTTATTTTTCATAGCGAAGAACAGGTTTAGAAATTCAATGCACATGGTATCAGACTTTCATGAAATTTTCGTGCTTCGCTCAATGTAAATGTAAAAATGTAAAGGCCGTTAACAGCGCCGAACACACATTTATATACAAAATCAAATCACATGATGTTTTTATTGTATCATGTTTCTTCCGGGCTTCCGTACATTTGAGTTATAGCCGGGTTTTTTTTATATACAAAAGGCAAGAGACACTAAGATTTTTCTAACTGGTGGTTTGTTGATTGTAAAAAACTTGTGCAATTTATAATCTGTATAAATACATCTAAATAAAACAATTAAGTGAAGGATTCACCATTTCCACTAATTTTACAATATTTAACAACTTTAATGTAAAAATAATAAAATAATTTAAGAAATAACAATTAATTCTTTTAAAAATTCATTTTTCATCGAAAAAGTTTTTTGCCTTCAGACAATATTATGCATATTGATAAAAACATCTAAAAGCATTTGAAATTAAATAATATCTTTGTTTTATTGAGTTTTGCATGTTACAATTCAGGGCTGATTTTTAGGTAGACGAGGTCGGATTTTTAACAAAAGAAAACATAATTTACTTTCATCAGAGCCTTGTGTTTTTAACTAATATAATGACTTGCGTGCTTCAATATTGAATTTCTACAATTTTCATAAAATTATTTATTGAGGCGGGGTAATATATATATAAAAAAATGTATTTTTATCATCACTTTAAAAAAAATTACATATTTATAAAAATTTCCATCATTTCTGAATAGTTTCTGAAAGTTTAATTAAAATTCGACAATTATTCCTATTTTTACAAGATTTTCAAAATTAATGTGTCATTAAAAAAAATGCACAAAAATTTTCTACGTTATTTAGTACTTCCGCCGAAAGGTTTTTTTAATCAAAGGTTACAAAATTCTAAAAAGACGAAAAAAATTTTTAAAATAATTTAAAAATACTCCGTTCTTTCCTTTTAATAGTAACATAAACATTTTGCTTTCGTCAAGTTTAAGGCCGTTTTTATCACGCTATGCTCATTTTCCAGCGATCTCATGGAGATATCTAATTTAAATTCTCCAAGAAATTCTGCTTTTAACTGATATAAACATTAAGCGGGACTGAATTAAATTCCTCGAAATTTCATAAGATTAAATTATTGGTTGATAACTGATGTAAAATAAAAATAGTTTTACTAAGATTTTCTCAAAGAAACATTTCTAAAATAATTTAATTTATTTGGGAATAATAATTGAAAACGACAATTATTTAATTTTTGCAAAAATTTACAAATCAATGTGTTTTTCACCGAAAAAAAACAACAAAAAAACACTCTAAAATTTCCTGTACTATTGTTTGGCCACCGAGCTGACGAAAAAAAAAAGAATTTTTACCAAAATTTCGAAAGTTTTAAAAAGAACGAAAAAATGTAATTTAATACTCAAAAGGACTTTGATCTTTCCTCTTAATAATATGTTTTTATTAGGTTTGAGGCATTTTTTCCTCATGGTATGCTAATTTTTTTTTTAGTAAATCAATGAAGATACCTAAAATTGTATTTAATATTTTTTGTTGTAAATTCTCAAGAACAAAGAAAATGCTATAAATTCATTTTCGTATGTTTAAGTTTTATTGCAGTTCTATTCATCGCGTTTTAAAACAATATGCATTGCCAAAGACTGAAGATAATTAAAAAAAAGCGGTATGAAGGACCTTGTTTACCGTTTTTGCAACCTCTACGACAAACAAACTTTGTAGAAACGTTGAAGTGATGCCTTTTTGATAGCTGGCATGTTAGCTATGCCGTATGCAAAACTTAATTCCCCGGTTTAATTTCCACGAGTCAAGCCAACATTTTCCTCAAAAAGTTGCCCTTCATTTAACGAAGCAAACCCTTTTTTTTTCTTTAGAAAACCAGATTTTATTTAAATTAACTAAAGATAAAAATAGCAGTACACGAAGTGATTGAAACGATCTAGACGATGTTCTACATTCACTACGATTCCCCAATCTGTACAGCCATTCTGTAAATATGACTTGTCCTTTTGTGGAAAAGTAATGTTTACCCGTGTAACGAATGATTATTGGTAGTCTTGCAACATCTTCTTGCTACCTCGTCAGATAATCTCAGCGCCTGGTTGTTTCCACGTGTACATAAATTTCGTTGAAAATAAACTATGCCAAAGGAGAGGCAAGCCATAAATGCGCTGTTTTAGTTAGTACTTCATACTCGCCTAATGATTATAGGTCCTCGGCTTCCCCACGTTTGGGCGTTGCTGCTGTGGGAAATGCTAGCCCTACGCACAATCGGTTTTGAATTCAAAGTTTTCCTCCTACTAGACTGGAGAACCTAGTTTACCATGCTATTAACCCCTAACTGGGGGAGTAGAGATGGATCCGTGCCTTTCTGAAAGGTATCTTCGAAAGCGAACGCAACGACCTCGGCTGTAATTTGAACTCAACTACAACTTATAAATCCCACTTACCGCACTAATAACTTCTGCAATTTACATTTGCTAACAATACGTGTTAACTTCTATGACTTCAGATAGATGTTTAATTAAATTTTTATGACAAGAAAATATTTGACGTTTAACACATGTAAAGAACAGAACACTACAGTTAGAAACAATGTTTTTTACTTAGTTTTTTTAGTGGAAAGACTAGCAAACGTTATAGACGCCTTTTTTGTTTACTCGTAATAATTGTAACTGTGTCATCAACGATGCTAAGTAGGTTTACACTGGTAGAATGAGACATCGTATAGCCTCTCACAAGTTTGGCTCTCATGATGACTAACGACTCTGTAAGAATGTATTAAAAAGGTTTGGTTTGGTTTGGTTTAGTTTGGTTTAGTTTGGTCTGGTTTACGGCATATCAACCTAAATGGGTTATTTAATGCCGAAAAATTGTTATTGCTGGTAAGATTTTGTTTTGTCAAAAATCTATTTCTGGTAAATATCTTTTCCTTCAGAAATGTATTGCTGGTATTATTTTTCCCCAAAAAATGAATAGTTGGTAATATTTTTTCTTCAAAAACATTGTTAGTAATATTTTTTTTCATTCAATAATTTATTGCTGGTAATAATGTTTTACAAAGTATTTCTGGTATTAAAACCTATTTTTACATTTTCATAGCATATTTATCCCAGTTTGGGTGTCAACTATTTCCCCATAGCTGGGATCCTAACAGATGCTATCACCCCGGGTCAGAGTGGACCTGGGTACACCAGCAATTAAGAGGTGGTTCCACGCTCCTCAAAACCTCCTGATCAGAGGCCTTACTGCTGGATGGAGTGTATCATCTTACCCAGGACACGGATGTAGTTTATCGTCTTAAGGTTCCTAGCTTTCCCTTCAGATACAAGCTTGAAAAATGTAAATGCAACACTAATCACTATTTTATGTCTTATCGTATAACTTGTAATGAAATGATTAAAACAAATATGAAAAAATAAAAAGCTGGGAAAATATCTGAACAAGAGAAAATATATAGAACATGAAGGAAACGTTCGTACTCTTCATTTTCGATGCGTTTAGAACAGTTGCAAAAAACCATTGAAAGAATTAAAAATCGTAAGAAGAATTGAAACGATCCAGATAACACCATTACTAAAATTAGTTAAAGTATACCGAAAAGTACTGATGTGTCGGGGAGACTTACTTTCTATCTTTCTATTGGTGGGTAGACCAAATATGTAATTAGTGTTACCAGCCACATGACAAGAGTTTTAATTTTGGGAATATACTTTTGCGGCTGTTGATAATATCACGTTTTGTCGCTTTTATTCATCCGTACTTCAGCTTTCTTGTGAGGCGCTCGTGAATTTAAACCGGCTTTTATCACAAAGGTAAGGACTGCTAAAAAGAGCGTGACGTTTTTGGCGCGTTACAAAGCAACGGGCAAAGGCTTTTATGAATACAGATAATGAATCTCCGAACAAAGATAGAAGGAGTAGAAAAAGAACTGATCGATTTCGACTTCTTGCGTTGAGTG